GTAGCGTTTCGACGCCGCTCGAGTTCCTGAAGGGGAACGTCTCCAGGTTACGTATGTATCCATGGTTCCACGAAGGGAACGAGACGTTGCTTCTCAGGGCTATACTTCCGGCATCCCTGCCAGTGCTTGCTTCACTCCTAGAAGCTGACGCCGGTTTCACCGCACGTGCTTTTATGCTTCCTGGTCGCTACGTCACCCCGCCCGTGACGTCTCGCCCATCCATTGGATTGGTTACACATGTGATTCAGAGCGCGGTCACGCTGGAGGCGTTCCCGTAGCGTTTCGACGCAGTGTCTCGTTCCCTTCGGGGAACCATGGTTACATACGTAACCTGGAGACGTTTTGTAGCCTATAAGAATAGGCCTATGTCGTGCACTAATGGTTTTAATATATTATATTCAATAGCATTGTTAACTGTTTTTATTTATAACATCTGCTGCTTTGCTTCTGTGAAAATGAAGAGAGACATCAGTCTTAAACTTAGTTTTTTGTCATTTACATCAGTTATATTTGTCTAAAATACACTATATATTTTTGTATCAGTACATTACTGGCACATTTGAGCAGCATTAGTAAACTGTAAATATAAAGAAATGCCAAATTACATGCAGGTTTTTATAAGATGACTGAAAATTTTACTTGAATTCGTAGTTTATTCTTACTTTTGGAAACCTAATTGTTTTATAATTATAATTATTATTATTGTTATTTCTGTTGTTTCAAGAAGTAGTAATTTTGATAATAGTCAATAGAAAAAATATAACCACACACACATTGTTTGTCCACAGAATAATTACACATTATTAAATAAAAAGCGTTCCCGCACGAACCTCTACCTCTGCCAGCAGGACCTCAATTTCAGACTCAGTAAAGTTTTTTTTTCTTTGTGCTCGTCATTCTCAAGCATAGAAAGTTGGATATTGGCGTATGCTCTTTTATATGGTAATGATATTATTTAGGGGGCGTTTACAAGGCAGAGATCTGACACCAGTCAGCTGCAAACAATTTCAAGATCATTTGCGATTTATAAATGTCACATCTGGAAGAGAGGCGTATGCACGTATTTTTGTGCGCACGTTCGTTTTCTCTGAATCGCACTTATGCACTTTTGCGATGATCTTAGAACAAATTTAGGATGGTTTATACGCAACATTTTATAAATGAGGCCCCTGATGAGCAGCCTGGCCAGGGTGGCTTCGAGAAGCCAAAAACATCCAGTAAGGTCGTCAGGGACCATCACTTGAGAGTTAGAGTAGTACTGCCATGCTCAACTTGGAAGCTACCACCTCAAGAAGAACCGGAGGGCCTAACAACCCGAGGTCGCAGCGCTATTCTGGGACCTTGATGACTTAAAGAACGGCTCAGTGTCAAGGTTCTCCAGTGATGGTATGGACAAAGAGGCCCAGTAAGACAAGCCTAGCAACCCGCTATCAAGGGAACCAGGATTCTGTACCAGAGACGTACCCACAAGCAGCCCTCAGGAGCATGAGGGAGGTACAGTCAGGCTCCTGTCCCCGTGGAGCAGAATGCTCAACTACACCTTCTTGTTGATGAGGAGCATCAGCTCAACCTAGAGACGCAAGAGGATCAAGAAGGCTACGTAGACCTACAACTTGGGCTAAGGAGAGCAAGTGAGAGTTCACCAGAGCAAAGGGAGAGAGTTACCAGATAGGGCCCTCATCTACTGACTTTCAACAGGGAAGGCCCATGGTGAGCCCTACTTTCCAGTATTGAAAGTCAGGGAGTTTCAGTAACAGGGACTGTTACTGCACAACTGTAAAATACCAGGGTAAGGGAACCAGGTTCTGTGTCAGTGACATGCTCACATTTGGCCCTCAGGAGCATGAGCGGAGTACAGTCAAGCTCCTAACCCCAGAGAGCATGGTACTCAACCACACCCGCTCACGGGTAAGGAGCTGGTGGCTCAATTCAGGGCCAAGCATCAAGGAGGCTCGCAAGCCTACATTTGAGAAAGAGGAGGTCCCCAGGGCGGGGCGAGGTCCCAATGCATGGGGCCTACAACCCCCGACTCTCAGAAAGAGGAGGCTCACAGGGAGCCATACAACCCTTAAATGAAAGTAAAGGCGCACAGCATGGATTCCCAGGGTGCAGTTAGATTGTCAGGTCCCTTCAATGCTCTGCCTATAAACTCTGCAAATGGTCAGACTAATTGCCTCGGCAAGAGCGGGACTCGAACCGCGGGTGATAGTGAATTCTCACCGCGACCGCAATGTGCAGCATGTATTCAGCTGCCGCGGGAGCTAAACCCACTTCGTTCAGGCGCTAAAATTCTGAGAATGCGTCACTATGAGCTTGTTCAACTTTCACAAGAGGCGAACACACTCATGCAAACGCTGTTTAGAGTCTCGGGTAAATGGTGAAACACTCACCAGTAGTCCTGCGAATGCATCCCGATGAGCACAATCCACCTCCTTGTGAGTCGAATATGTTCAATTCACACTTATCCACAAAGAAATAAGCGCAATGAGTGCAATGAGCACATTCATGTGAAATATCAGGTATCAGAGCAAAGTCTCTGACGAGAGAATATGCAATCCTAGTCATGCTTAGCTGCTAACATAAACAAACGGCAGTGAAGACAAAGAAGAGGATGACGTGTTCTATCGGCGCCCTTTTATACTGTAGTCGCGCCGGTAGTGCCGTCATAGGCTGTCGCTGGCCAATGTTATTGTCATGTCTAGACATTTGCTTCAGGCACCGGTCACACTAAAGGTGTTTCCCATAGCGACCGCTAGAGGACACAGTTCGAGTTCCCTCAGAAGGGAACCACTATTCCAAAACATCTTTCAACTTAAGCTAATATTATCTGTATTTTCAAGCAGGGCTGATGGTTGAATGTAAAAAAATTTTGAACAAGGGCATGAATAACAAAATGAACCTTGACTTTTACAGATGCTTCCACCTGCATGATGTCAGAATGGATCACATGGTCACCATGCAGTATGTCATGTGGTGCAGGTGTGCGCTCTAGGGAGCGCTATGTAAAACAGTTTCCTGATGATGGCTTTGCTTGCACCCATCCCACTGAAGAGACAGAGCCATGCACTGTCAATGAGGACTGCTGTGAGTATTATTTTACCTATGGACTCATAACAAACCAGATTCACTGAAATCTAACAGATGTTTACAGTTGTAATTTTATTGATTCTTCACAAGTTAATCACAAGTTTTTGTCAATTGCCAATTGTGCAGGATTTTCCTGCACCTAAAGTTCCTGTACCTAATATACTGTACTGATTTTTCAGCTAACATCCTCATTCATTGATTGTTGCATGGCTATTTTTACGATTTTTTTGTTACTTAAACAAAACAAAACATAGCTACTAGTTTCAGCATATTTGGGCCTAACTGCCTGAAACTAACCAGCCAAACCTTTACTGCATATTTTAATAATAGACTAAAAGTTGTTTTTGTTTTTGATCCTTCATGGCTATAAAGGATCTCCTAACAGGATTCTCTGCTCCAATCATATGTACTGTATATGTTTCTGCTTGTGTAGCTCCAAGCAGTTGTTTGGTTACTGAATGGGGTGAATGGGATGCATGCAGCGCTACCTGTGGGCTTGGCATGAATAGACGGGAGCGGATGGTGAAAATGCCCCCGTCTGATGGCTCCATTTGTGGGGCTGAGATGGTGGAAGTGGAAAGGTGTATGATGCCAGAATGTCGTAAGTGCAAACACTCGCATGCACAAGCACATTAACAGATCCCCACGCAGTGCATGTCTGTGAATGTTTAGGTGGACATGAATTAGCATAATTACACAGCCACATTAACATGTTCAGAATTACATATTCACATAAATGCATATACACATATTCATACAGAACACAAGTAGTGAACACATTACCCCACTTTAACATATTCAAATCCATAACTCACAAAAATACACTCACAAACATATTCACACCCATAGTAACCTATTAATACAAATAGCATATAAGAATTTATTAGTGAAAATTAATATAACGTACACACACAAATACTCATATTACACTGCTCACACACAAATTCACACGTATGCCAATATTAGCATATTCACAAAGAAAAAAAATACTGCCAACATTAACGTATTCTCACATACATGCTCACATTAGCATATTTATACAGAATACACACCGACATGCTTGCAGTTCTCAGTGTTATGATGCTTATGATGTTTTTTGTGTGTATAGATACAATCCCATGTTTACTGTCCCCGTGGTCAGACTGGAGCGATTGCAGTGTGACGTGTGGTAAAGGCACACGGACACGTCAGCGTATGCTCAAATCACCTGTGGAGTTGGGAGAATGCAACGAGGAGCTGGAACAGATGGAGAAATGCATGCTGCCAGAGTGTCGTGAGTTACACATACTCTTTCTCTATTACACATACACACACACAAACATAACAGTTAAAAGGTATCAAACATAACAAATGCACAGTATGTGTGTGTGTGTGTGTGTGTGTGTGTTAGTTAGTACTAATTGTGAGAGTGGGTCCAGGAGAAGTAGTGTCGAAGTCTGATCTGTGTGACCTTCCTTCCTTCCGTAAAAAAATAAAAAAATGTGATAAATTGTGATAACAAGCTAATCAATCCCCCACCCACCACCTCCATCCCCCATTTGAAATAGTAGACCATCTGGGTATCTGTGGGATACTCACTTGCTGCTTGTTATGATTTGGGACACACTAATTCTAATCTCTGATACTATTTAGTGCGGATAATATGCAAATTGGAACAAAGTGTGTATCTCCAGGAACAGGACTTAAGATTTCTCAGTTACACAATCAGCTTCTTATTATTAAACTGTTGCATAATTGCAATATCACACTCTCAATCATTTTATTTATTTTTTCCCCCCAGAATTCTTACTCATCTGAATGAAAAAAAAAAAACCTTTAGAAACACAATACAAACACATATTATATTATTATTTTTATTATTTAAACAAAATAAATTTAGTACTGTACATTTCAATAAGATAACGAGGCCTTGGTTTCTTTAAATAAATAAATTTACTCTGTCAAATGAATGCCTCTTGTGGCAGATTTCCTTTTTATGTATTTTAGAGACTCACAATATTTCCATAATTGTCTTGACAAAGGTTTCATTTTATGACTTTAATTAATTTAAATGTCGATGCTATTTTTAATTAAGATTACATTTCTAGTTGGGTCATGAAATCTAGATGGCACAGGTAGATAGGTCCTTTGCATGCAATTTGCCAGCTATCATATTGTTTACTACAGTACATGGCACAAGCTGATTGACCTCTGCTGATCCTGCAGCCAATGAGATTGCTTGCTCAACATTTAAATAATCTGGTTCAGTGTTTACAGTAAACTGGTCCTGCAACGTACTATTAGAGTTCCTCAGATCCACCTGTCTAGATCTTCTATTCGATTTATGTATGCCTATTCATGCAGCAGCAGCACATTTTACATGCTCACAGCAGTGTGTCTGTGTATTTACTGGCAGTAGCATGTTCATACTTGCTCTGCAACAGCAGCATATTAACATATAAAACTATTCAGAGAGTTGTCATGATTGAAATATGTTTTATTGGAAATACATAGGAAAGATAGACAGCTTTGATGTGAACCAGCAGCACCTAATAAACTAAATATAGAAAAAATAAACACATAAATAATGAACATCATCTCTAAACTAATAACATTTTCCCTGAGATATGATGTCATATTTCTCTGTTTGAATATTGTCTCTTTTGATGTCGTTCTCTTCTAGCGATGGATTGTGTGATGTCAGAGTGGTCCGAGTGGTCAGAGTGCAGTAAATCCTGTGGGAAGGGCCATTTGATCCGTACACGCATGATCACTCTGGAGCCTCAGTTTGGCGGGGATCCGTGCCCTGAGACCACACAGAGAAAAACATGCAAGATCAAGAAGTGTAATCAAGGAGGCTTAAACAGTGACGAGAGGAAGAGGCGCAAGGAAGACCGTAAGAAGAGGAGGAACAAACAGGGAAGGGAGGAGAGTGCCGATGAGCTCGCAGGTGAACATGCATCGTCACTGTAAAGGGATACTCCACCCAAAATATTAAAGTTCTCTCATAATTTACTCACTCATGCCATCCCAGATGTATATGACTTTCTTTTTTCTGTGGGACACAAACTGGGATTTTTTGAAAAAATAATATCTCTTTAGAAAGTCTCTGTGAGTCCACATAATGCAATTGCCTCAAAGTTGATGCTTCAAAAAACATACAAAATGAACACAACGGTAATCTATACGATCACAGTTGATAAATCAATGTCTTCTTAAGCAAAACTGTAGGAGTGCATGAGAAAAAAATATATATTTTTTTTTTTTAACGAATAATCTCTTCCAGCTGTCAGCACGCTGTCAGCATGTTGTGAAGCATGATTTAAGCTTGTTGTGAAACAATTACATTTTAAAATTAATGTTATAAGGACTCACACCTAGTGAGTCTGAGTACTGTTTGTGTTCCACAGAAGAAGACAGATGGACTCAGACTCGACTTTATTGTCATGTTTAGGGAAACTAAGATTGCAGCTACATGCCAGAACACTAACCACATCCATGTACCTATCAAATAACTATTACATACCTAATATACATACCCACTCCTAAGGATTTTTTATTTTTTTCTCAATTTCTGTCACTGATGGAGTTTTGGTTCCTTGCCATTGTCGCCTTTGGCTTTCTTAGTTGAGGATGATTAATTTCTGGAATATTGCTGGCTTGATTGCACAAACACTATTGGAAGAGCTGAACTGGATGATGACATCACTGAATCATCAATGAACTGACCTTAACTGAAAAATTATTCAGTATTATATACTAAAAATTATTGATGTTATTATCCACTTGCATTTTTGACAAACTATTTTCCTGTTTGACATTGTAAACCTGCTTTGACAACTTGTATTGTATAAAGCGCTATATAAATAAAGGTGACTTGACTTGACATGCATAAAATCAAACAATATAAACAATAAAATGGTCAAAAACACATAAAAATACCAGAGTATATTCTTAAAGTGGTGGTTCACTGTTCTTTTTCTAGGCTTGATTGTGTTTATGGGGTTCAGTCTAACATGTGTCAATGCTTCATTTTTTAAAAAACACATTCATTTTCACATAATTTACCTTTATTCCACACTGCTCTGTCCCTTCTGTGAGAAACATGCTGATCATTTCCTTCTTTTATGAAGCCCCTCCCTCAGAAATAGGTGATGGGCTCTGATTGGTTAGCTGGCCCAGTGTGTTGTGATTGGCTCCACCGTCTCTAGTGCGCTCTAATCATCCCGCCCCTCACCTCAGTGGCATGTGCTCCGGTTGTATTGTAAACAACTGCGTCGTGAATATTGCTTATCAGTTTGAGCCCGATTGAGAAGCAGAGGATATTATTGAAGAGGATCGTACAGAACCTGTGCAAGCACGGCTTTTAATGGTAGGCCTATGTTTTTTGTTTGTTGTTGTCTCATACTTTTAGATACGCTGTTATTTGTAAATGCTACTGCTTATGTTAGCTTTTAATATACGGTTT